CGCCGCGCTTTCGTGCATGTTCAACGCCACGACTGGACCACGATGGCCAACGGGAGGTTCTTCTCATGTTCCGCCGGCTCCTACTGCTGCTGCTCTGGGGAAAAGACAGAACCCGACCAAAAAAAATGGTACTAAAAAACATAGCTTTAGAAAGAAAAAAAAGCAATCATGTCCTGCGCGTATATGACGACGGGAAAAGTTTAATCGGTCTAGCATCTGGCTTATGAAAATAAGAATCATCATCACGATCGTGATCATCGTCATCCATGCAGGGTTGGTAAAATGGATAACACCGTATATGGCTGCACCACTCTGATGGGAAATGTGGCCTAAAAAAGGCCTTGATCTTGCCTGTGTAAGTTAAATGGGTACCACTCATTTGCAAGTCAACACGTTGTTGTATTGATATGGAGATCCTGGGTTAGGGAGGTGTGTAATTTCCTAAAGTGGGCCCAGAAACACCTCAGAACAGTACCGCGAGGACAGTCAAATTCACAAGAGGGCACGGATCACGATTGGGAACAGTTAAAAGTGTTTATACACTCAGTGGGTTTCACCGAAGCTGCAGAAAACCTAGTCGACTATTATTTTTATTTTACCAGTTAATGCCCACTGAGCTATGCAGCTCTTTTTCAGAAGTTACCTGGCTATCACAAGTGATAGCTCAACGAAGTCGCTTATCACCGTGTGGAAATTAATTTATAACAGTAAAAATACTCTAAACGCATGATGTTGATTCTAAATGTGGGGGGGGGGGGGGGAAACCAGAGGACCCGGAGAAAAATCCACGCGACCACGGGAAGTACATGCAAACTCCAAATATACAGCAGGCGATAGTGGGTCCAGATCGAACCCACGACCTCCTGTATACCGTGCGAGGTAGTTAACATCTCGCCACCACCGCACACGATAGGAAAAGTGTGCGGTGGTATCAGGAGCGTTGCCCACAATTAACTCTTCAACTTCAATAGCGTTCATCGACATTAAAGGGAGACAATTCAATCTTGCGTGCAGCGCTGCTCCCTGAGATGTCGGACCACGTGAAGGAGGAGGGGGGGGGGTGGGGAATGCATTCGCCAATCCCACAAATAACGTAAGCCCGCGTTCACAAACATGCCGACTCGGGCGAATCTCAATGGATGTCAAACGCACCACCCCCCCCCCCCATCACAATGGCCAGCACGTGTGAACGCCTCCAAGAGTCCAGGTCCACGGGGTGGGTTTTCATTCGTTGTGGTCTTGTGAAGAGGTGCCAATGGAGGCGAAGCACAACAAGTATTGTGAACGGATCCGACGAACGTGGCAACAAGCGGTAGCATGAACCATCGTCGCGCAAACTCGGGCGGTCATCTCCTCCTCCTCCCAGCAGCGGCGGCGGCTTTTGGGTTGGCCACCGAACAAAGACGGTCACTCCGCATCCGCGCGCTTTAACACGCGCTACTGCGGCCGTCTGGAACGCTCTTCCTTCCGATATTAGGATGCCACCGAAGCTATGCACCGTGAAATCTAAATTGAAAAACGAATTTCTTTAGAACTGCTCCTTGTGCCTTCGGTCGTTGTCCTTCCTCCGCACCTCCGATGAGCACGGTTGGCTACGCGACCAATATCATCCATAATAGAGGTGTTTTGGGTTAGATCGTGTAAATAAATGTGTTGTTAAACTCGCCACCACCCGACATAAATCTGGCTGTCGCCTGATGAAGCGAGTCGTAATTACTGGCCAAACGTCGTACTCGGATTGTAAATGTTGTGGCTTGGTGTGCTGTACTCGTGACGAATTGGCACGTTCTGTTTACGTGACAACCCTTACTAGTTGGCTGTGTCGGGTGGTGGCGGGTTTAACGACACATTTATAGATTTACGCGATCTAAACCAAAAAACATCTATTATGGATACTGACTTTCCGTAAGTTTACTCTGAACTTCACTCATCGATTCCTCCTCCTCCTCCTATGTTGAGGACTCTACCAGACACCGACTTGTTTCCTCTCTGCCATCGCACGGTGTTCAACCACCACACTGCAGGTCACAGAACAGCTCGTTTGACATGTCCCGTCACTCCGCTCCACGTCGGATTTCACGTCCACCTTCTCTCTTCACAAGCTCTTACAATAATTCACCTCGCTCAATTCAAGGAACATCATCAAACACTACTTTTAAAGTGCTGCTTTCTATGGGGCCGGAGGACATTTTGGGCCTTTGGCCCTGTGCTTAGCAACTGTCTTGATTTTTTACAAGTCATTTGCTTAAATACCTTTCTGCGGTTTATAAGTCTCACCTGTTAAATCGAACGCTGCAGCTGCTGCGACTAAACCCGTCGAGCGCAAAAACGCAACATTTCAGAGCGAGACGCTCATTCATATGCCGACGACACACACACACCACACACACACACTACACACACACCACACACCACACCACACACACACACACCACACACAAACACACCACACACACACACCACACACACACCACACACACACACCACACACACACACCACACACACCACACACACACACCACACACACACACCACACACACACACCACACACACACACCACACACACACACCACACACACACACCACACACCACACACACCACACACACACACCACACGGAAATCCGGCCGTCATGGTGGCGTTAGCCCACTTGGCAAACGATTTATTCTCAAGCAGATGCTTTTTTTTTCCCCAAATCAAAATGACACTTGGGTAGACAGAACGGTGAAAGACGACGTCCCCCCCACCCCCCCGTAACACCCACGTGGAGGCCTGAAGCCGCCCGCGCGTTCACAAAGCCCCGCCGCGCATCCGGCCGGCGGCGGCAGCCGAGCGGCCGGGACCCTCGCGGCACGAGGGTCGTGAGCGGGCAACCTAGCGGCGGGGTGCAGCCGAGCGCGATGCCGATCGTCGGCGCGTGGCGTTTGTCTCGTGAGCGAGCGCGGCGACGTGGAGCCTCGCGTTCGGCCGGGGTCTGGGCGCGACGCTCGGTGCGCTCCTTGTTGCCGGGGCATCGCCCTCGGCGACTCACGTCTGGTGCCAGACGGAGTCTGGCACGCTTATCGCGGTTACGACCCCTCGTGTTTCGCCGCGAGTCTCAGTCCGAGGGTGGGTGGGTGGGCGCGCTGTGTCAGGTGGTGCCGCTCACAGCGAGGGACGTACACAGGGGACCGCCGAGTACGCGCGTGTGCGTGTCTGTGCGTGCGTGTGCGTGCGTGTCTGTGCGTGTCTGTGCATGCGTGTGCGTGTCTGTGCGTTTCTGTCTGCCCCATATGACATCATAGCAGTCTGGACCACTGGACGGGTTCCGCAGGATTGGAAGGATGCCCTGTTGGTCCCCCTCTTTAAGAAGGGGGACCGCACAGACTGTAACAACTACAGGGGCATCTCACTCCTCAGTGTGCCGGGAAAGGTCCTGGCAAGGATTATTCAACATCGCGTTGCCAGGCACGCTGAGGAGAGGCTTGCAGAGCCCCAATGCGGTTTCAGGAAAGGGCGGTCCTGCGCAGATGCCATATTTTCTGTCCGTCTGCTACAGCAGAGGTGTAGGGAATTCCAACAAGACCTACATGTCTGCTTTATTGACCTGGTCAAGGCCTATGATACCATCAGTAGGCCTGGGCTCTGGGTTGTTCTTCGTGCTTTTGGAGTACCTGACCCTCTGCTCACGATCATTAAGGACCTTCATGATGGTGAGCGGGCCCGGGTAAAACTGCGTGGCCGGGAGTCAGAGCCATTCCCTGTACACCTTGGGGTGCGACAGGGATGTCCTCTGGCTCCCACATTATTTAACATCTATTTTGACCACGTAGTTCGTGAAGCCTTCAATAGCTGTACCGGGGGAATCTCCAAATGGTACAGATATAATGGGAGGCTGATCGATGCCCGGGTGCGGTCAAGGGATGGCTCCCTATTGCTCAACCACGTTATGTATGCTGATGATTTGGTAATAGCTGCTCATTCAGAGGAGGAGTTGGAGACGCTGCTGCTGAGACTGGAGCGTGCCACTAAGAGGTGGGGCCTTACCATCAGCCCCACCAAAACTAAACACCTGCCTGGGTATTTTGTACCATCGGACACTCCACCCACACAACTCCCAATCGGTGATGGGGCAGTTGTGGAGAGAGTGGAGAGTTTCCCATACCTGGGCAGTGTGCTTATGACTGGCTCCAGTTTAACAGCAGAGGTCTCACTCCGAATCAGTCGAGCGGCAATATCTTTTAATCGGCTGCGTAACGCTGTGTGGAAGCTACCTGGCCTGTCGCTCCGCACTAAGCTTCAGGTCTTCTCGGCCACGGTCATTCCCTCCCTTCTCTACGCTTGTGAAACGTGGACCCCCCTAATGGAACATCTTCGCCGGTTAGAAACATTTAGGCTGGCCTGCCTACGATCCATCCTGGGTTTAACCAGACTGGATTGTGTGAGGAGCTCACAAATCCTTGAAAGATCTGGGCAAGGTCCCATCGGTGAGCTCCTCCGGCGGGGAAGGCTGCGATGGCTGGGTCATGTAGCCCGCATGCCCAGCCACCGCATGCCGAAACAGCTTTTGTTCGGCCGGATTGAGGGGGCTAAGCGGGCGCGGCACGGGCTAAAGAAGAGATGGAGTGACGTGGTACAGGAGGACGTGGAGCTGAGTGGACTTGCCGATGACTGGTACCAGCGGTGTCAAGATCGGCCTCTGTGGAGGAGGCTCGTGAAGGACGCTACTGGGCAGTTGGAGGTAGTCGCCCTCCAACAACAACGTTGGGCGGAGGAGCGACGCTCACAACAACGAGCGGAGCGCCGGGTGGCTGAAGCACAGCGAGTTGGCACAGTAGGGAGCACAGGTGGTGCATCAGCCATTCATCTCAGTCAGTCGACCCGTGGCACCTGGGTCTGCCCCGTGACCTCCTGCCAGCGGGCGTTCAACACTTCACGTGGCCTCAGGGTGCACATAGCCTGGCACAAGCGTCGTGGTGACGTCACCGCCACTTAGTGGCGAATGGCGGTTGTTGTTGTTGTGCGTGTCTGTGCATGTGTGCGTGTCTGTGCGTGTGTGTGCGTGCGTGTGCGTGCGTGTCCGTGCTTGTGCGTGTCTGTGCGTGCCCGTGCGAGTCCATGCGTGCGCGTGCGCGTCCGCCTCTACTGCTCTCTCTTGTGGGCGAGCACCCACTCCTCCTCCTCCTCCACGCTGGGCAGCACGATGGAGTCGCGGTCGTAGTAGTCCGGCGTCAGGATGGGCAGGCCGGCGCTCTCGCGCTCCCGCACCAGGCGCTCCGCTTCGCGGCGGAACCACACGCGAGGTCTGCACGCGGCGCACAGAAGACAAAGGGAAAAGTTTTAACCACCTCCCCTGCCATCGCGGCCTCGACGGACTGTGGAGTACTGTGGGGTACTGTGGAGAATTGTGGAGTACTGTGGGGTACTGTGGGGTACTGTGGAGAATTGTGGAGTACTGTGGGGTACTGTGGGGTACTGTGGAGAATTGTGGAGTACTGTGGAGAATTGTGGAGTACTGTGGGATACTGTGGAGAATTGTGGAGTACTGTGGGATACTGTGGAGAATTGTGGAGTACTGTGGGGCACTGTGGGGTACTGTGGGGTACTGTGGAGAATTGTGGAGTACTGTGGGGCACTGTGGGGTACTGTGGGGTACTGTGGGGTACTGTGGAGTACTGTGGAGTACTGTGGGGTACTGTGGGGTACTGTGGAGTACTGTGGAGTACTGTGGGGTACTGTGAAGTACTGTAGGGTACTGTAGGGTACTGTGGAGTACTGTGGAGTACTGTGGGGTACACGCCGCTGCGGTGTGATAACGTTGGCCCACCGCAGCGCCGGGCAAAACCGCCGCAACCCCCCGCCTCCCCGTCTTGTGCCAAGCTGCCCTTAGCAGGTGCTCGCTACGAAGAGTATTTGCCTCTGCGGTCCCGATGAATAGAGACAAAGGCTTTTGTTTTTTTCCCCATTTGCACATTTAATCCCACACACTGGCATCGCAAGCAAGTCAATGTCATTGCAGAACACGGACTACTCACTCAACGAGCACGGACTACTCACTCAACGAGCACGGACTACTCACTCAACGCGCACGGACTACTCAACAAGCACGGACTACTCACTCAACGAGCACGGACTACTCACTCAACGAGCACGGACTACTCACTCAACGAGCACGGACTACTCACTCAACGAGCACGGACTACTCACTCAACAAGCACGGACTACTCACTCAACAAGCACGAACAAGCACGGACTACTCACTCAACGAGCACGGACTACTCACTCAACCAGCACGGACTACTCACTCAACAAGCACGGACTACTCACTCAACCAGCACGGACTACTCACTCAACAAGCACGGACTACTCACTCAACAAGCACGAACGAGCACGGACTACTCACTCAACAAGCACGGACTACTCACGTGCCAAGTAGACAAAGTTTCGCCACATCCATCGAGCATTCATGCGGAACGGACGCGTGCGGGCCCTCTCCTCTGTCACGCGAGATGTTGACTACCTCGCCTGGCGTACAGGTGGTCGGGGGTTAGATCCCGATCCTGATGTCTGTATATTTGGAGTTTGCATGTTCTCCCCGTGGTCGCGTGGATTTTTCTCCGGGCCCTCCGGTTTTTCTCTCCACATTTAGAAACAACGTCACGCGTTTAAGAGCATTTGGCTGCGATACATTTCCACGTGATAAGCCACTTCGTTGGGCTATCATTTGTGGCCAGGTCGCTTTTTGAAAAAGAGGCACATGGCTCAGTGGACCTCACTTGGTGAAATAAAAATAGATTCGTTTTTATAGTGGCTTGGAGCAATGGATCAGCGGCCTCACGTTTGGAACATGAAGCCAACACTTTGAGATATCCCGGATTCAAAACCCGTTTTTTTTTTTTAACCCGGCCGTGAGTGAACCGACCGATCGAGGGGCACCGTGGGGTTCAGGCGCTCGGCACACGGTGGGGAGGTACGGGTGTGCATGCCCTCTTTGGGGACGGCTCAACCCGTCGACTCCACGACAGTCATTTCCTGCTCCGTGGGAGCAATGCGATCGTGCTCATCTCCCATTTACACCTCTGAGCTAGTGGTGAAATTCCCGAGGAGAGGGAGTGGGGGTGGCGAATCTATCCATTGGACAACCGCTGTTGACTTCCACACAAAACGTGGTACCCATAACTCTCGAACTTTACCCGGGGCTGCTGGGATACGAGTGGGATTTTAGCTGCATGTCCCGATGTCTAAATAAACAAATGTATTACTTGACATTCATTCCCGAGCTCGCAACCCCGGGGGGTATTGTCGTTGTGGCCAGCCAATGGGCAATTCTTATCTCGTCCGTGTAGGGAAAAAAAATAAAAAAAAATAAAAACCGGCCGGCTCGTTCAACACCAAGGCAGGACGGCGGGGCGCGGAAATTAATGGTCAGAAAATACGCACGCGTCCGCAGCGAGTGTGGCAAGAGAACTCGCGGGGAGCGGCGGGAATTCATTCGCAGGCGAAGACGAATTAATGTTGCCTGGCGCAAGGGGCACATGCAGTGAAGTCCACTGGACGGGACGCGACGAGTGATTTACCGTTTCCATAAAAGCCGCATTAGAGAGCGCCCGCACGACGGGAACGCGTGGGGGGGGAGGGGGGGGGAAATGCCGCATGGGCTCATTTTGCTAATCAGATTTGCGTCTAAAATAAAATAAAAACATCGCGTAACATTGCCCCCCCCGCCATCCACTCCACCGCCGCCCCCCCTCCCCCGAGGTCACAAACACAACGAGATGACGTGTTCGTACGAAGCATCAGAACGTGCGCACTGAGCGCGCGGACTGCGTGTAATCCCCTCCTCACCAATACAAGCAATTATAAAGATCGCCCGTGTAGCCTGAATGGACTGCCGGGGAAAGCGCTGTTAGCGAGTAGCACCGATGTAGGCCGGCAGGGCCCACGAGGAGGTCCGGGGTGGCCAATGCCAGGCACCGGCCGCCTTTGTCTTCCTTCGTAGCGATGTTTTTTACACACCGACCCAGGGTACTCATTTGAGGCTGAGTCAACCTAGAGGAGGCCCAGGTCCAGTTCAGATCATCATCGCTGGTGTTGGCCGTGAGCGGGAACCGCCGATGCACACGCACGCACGCACATGGGCACACGTGCCCCTGCGCTAGGCCTACGACGGTTAAGCCCCTTACCACCCCTGCAAATCGATGAACTTTCATTTTTTTCCGGGCAGCAATTCGATTCAAGAATCAATCCTTTTTTTTTCTCTCTCTCTCTCCCCCTCTACTGTTGTTGCAAGCGTCTCGAGTGGAAAATAAAGCATTAAATTCTCTCCGGTGCGCGACTGACGGCCGACCGACAAGAGACCTGCTGTTTGTCTCTTTGTGATCAAAGCGACCGGATATGCATCATCACCACAGCGGTGCTGCACCACTGCGCTAACTCCCATGCAAGCACACGTAAAGGGTCGCTGAAGACCCATCTCTTTGGTCTGACACAAATCCCTGCGGGTTGATCTGCCTGTCACTTGTCACCACTATTTGATGGTTGATCTATGGGACCTGTTTTACTCGCTTGGGGGGAATGGGTTGACAAATCGTAGTTTTTTTTAAGTTTAACCGTGCATACCTTTCATTGTGTCGCGTAATTTAAATGTTTAGCGATGGAATGTTATATAGGCTTTTAATGCGTTCCATCTGTGAAGCGGTCTGTGACAAGCTCATTGTGAAAGGCGCCGCGGCTAAATAAAGTCCGATTGATTTATTGACGCAATCATTTGTCTCTCAACCACCTCAACGTCAAATCATAGCTACGTAAACTAATACAATGCAACGAACATCATCATTTATGTTGCAATAAACCAACTGATCAAAGGCAAAGAAGAGTAACATCTCCAACTTTTCCCGATGGCGTGCCAGTTCTGCAATTCCCTTCAGACGTTGGTGGCTGGCTCCCGGTTAGTTAGCTTGTCAAAGTACTGGATGCTACAAATAAAATTAACGTACATTACTCACCTCCTGCACCGATCTGTCCCTCCACGTGAAGAACAACAGTATTTTTTGTACATACCCCATCATCAGCCACACGGGCCTTCTGGGAAGCGAGTAATTTCAGTACCGTTGGTTCAACACAAGCGGAATTTATAATGTTAAACTGACAAGCAGGATTCTGGAGCCGATTTCAACATTCGATGTCTCATCATCAGCAGTTAGGCTCTGCTTGAACCATTGCTGGTAAACTGCCCAGATGTCTACAGGGGAAGGAGACCTGCACTGCTCAATACGGGTCCTAGATCGATGCAAACATTCGTGGTACGTAACAACAAATAATCACGACCGTAATTTTTGAGATATAAGTAACAAAATAAGCACCCAATATGCCTCCTTCAGAATGCCGTGCGGCTGATTCTGATATATAAAAAAATATACTTTATTTTACCTGGAGGGACAGATGTTGGAAGGGAGGGGGGGGGGGGCACATATTGCCTGCTTATCTATTTCCTGAGACGTTGGTGGCTGGTCACGGTTAATTCGTTTGGCGATGTACAGAGAGGACACGGATCTTTTGAGACTTCCTCATTTCCTCTCTACGCATCTCAACACGGTGTTGTCGCTCTTCGGGCGTTCGGAGCGCCTCCAAGACGGCTGAACGAGGAAGGGGCGGTGGCGGCAAAGGCGGCTCTGTCCCAGAACCAAAATCATTGTTTCGTATTTATTACAGCGCTTCATCGGTGATGGCCAAACGGCTCCCGGTCCGATGAATAGAATGTTTTACGCCGGCACTTTGACAATGTTTCAGGCCGGAGAGAGGAGAGGGGGGGGGGGGGGTGAAGGGGTGAGAGTGAAGGGGTGGGATAGAAAATAAATAAAAGAGGCGCTCGGATTGAGTGACAGACAAAAAGCCACGATCACCTTGGGCCGCAGTGGGGCAAACAGACTCAGCCCATTGTTGAAGGCCTTTCCCTCTCTCTCTCGTCTCTCTGCTATCCCCACGCTTTGTGCGAGCCACAGACGCGGCAGACAACAAAGAAAATCCCTTCTCGGGGGGGGGGGGGGGGGGAACAAAAAATCTTTTTTTTTGTAAGGCAATAAAATATAATCATAATAAAATAAGAAGAATAACAAAAATAGGCAAACATTCCTCTCTGTAATGTCGACCTTGGCCCCAAGTCGCTGCAATTCTGTCTGACATTTAGCGGGGGGGGGGGGGGGGGGAGGGGGGGGGTGGTTATTTTACCGCTGCTCTGTATTTATCTTGTTCGCATCGCCACATTCAAACACAACGGTCGTTTTCATTCGTCAAGTGTTCGCGGTA